CTCGAATACTTCCCATCGCGCTTTCTCATGGAACTTGATCCCAACGTTGGATCTCTGCTCTGAAGCTTCGACAACAGGCCTGTTCCGTCAATGGAAAAGAGCTATTTTACACAACTGGACGGAGAACAGTCTGCAGGACTCTCGATGCTGTTTGTCTTATGACAAACCTTTCGCGAAAGGGGGCGGGGGAGGGTAGTTAACAGCTGATGCTTATGATGTGGTGCTTTTGAAAGGAGACGGAATAGCATCGAAAAGCGTGGTGTAGTACCTTTGAGGCAAACATCCACCTTCGTATCTTCGTCGTTCTCAGTGAAGGATGAAATCTGTCATTGCCCGTAGCTCTCCTTCGTTTTTTACCCCTTTTGGACAGGACTGTCGTAAAGGCATCAGATTTATTATTCTCTATCAGATATGCTGACAACAGCCTCTCTTGACTGACCATTCCAGAATTCATGTAAATCGTGCGTTTATTCAGGACACCTCAACTTACGTAAACAGTAATGCTGCATATACAAAATGTTTATGAATAAATTATACTATTCATAAACAATGAGGAAATCTACGTGTGATCAATATATGAGCGTTTTGTCGTTCATTGTACCTTGTTGTTAGTTGCGTTCGCAAGCGGGAGTAACGCTCCTTATTTGTATCATTGCAAAGGCCCCTGATTGGCCGTCGTTTCTCGTGGCAGATCCGGATCCGTTTTTCCTCTCTCTCTGCTGGTGCAATCGTTGCAAACGACTTTTGACTTGGCGGTGCTCGCCAATTAAGGAAGTTTAATGAAAATCTCCTCTTCCCCGTCGTAGTTAAATTTCCAACAGAAAACCATTCCCAGCTTATAGTTCAGAGATGTGTTCTTCGTCGTTCAGAGAAGTACTTGTCTTTCAACGCTAGCTCGCCGTGTCATCGGCGTGCAAATGAAAATGTGGCCGTTGTTCGGAAAACGCTTCCTTCAGTCACCGGATGCTCAACGTTCAAAGGTCAGCGAAGATGCCACCGCATCCAGTACGAGTAAGTACCTGGGAAGTAGTCGCCGCAACACTTGTTAATTTGTGAATATGAACTGAATATTAATTTGCGAAATATTCCAATCGAGCAGATTAGCAACAGACAACTTTCTGTAGACAAGGGCCAACCGAAATCGGAAAATGAATCTCTGCGCTGTTGACAGCCGAGTGGAGAGTATGCTTAACCATGGACAAGGTTGTTCAGTCGGTAGAGCTACGGATTCAGAACCAAGAGGTTACGAACCTCTCTTTAGAGACTCCTGTAGGTGACTCGCCTTTTTTCGAGGTTGGTGCATGAACATCACTCTATGGAGAAACAAGGGGGGAAGACTTACATACCATGCTTGCATCATAGCTGCCGACACTGCCTTTACAACAAGGCATTCCTGATTTGTGGAACAGAAACGGACATCAGCGCCGCATCATAAACTCCATGGAAGGAATGGTGCCACAAATGGTCTTTAACCATGAAAGCATAAAGAAAGCCTACATCTCAATGGCTGAAGGCTTCATGTTTACCATCTCGGTGGCCCCCGCTACACGCGGAGGGAGGTGTGGAGTTTATAAACCAAATTGTTGACGAAGAACGGGAGCTGACCTGAGCTTACGATGGGTTCACCAATGAGTATCACCTCAGAGACACATGCGGAGCTTATTACCATTATGTCTTCCTAGTCTGCCCGTTCCAACTTTAATTTCTGATTTGGTTTTCCTTGACCCTCACAGCACAAACCTCATCTTTCCGCCTTGTCTCGATAAGGCCTTCAGTTCATACGTGTTAATGGTCGTATTATTCAAGGAACTTCCTAATGATGACTGAATAATTTCCCACAGAGGATTCACCTCTCGTAAAGACCCATGGCCTTCATCATCGAGTGACTGGTAGAAGCTCGGTTTCTGACCAAGAAAAGAAAAGAGAAGCAGAGAGTAACAGATAGTCAGTAATGAGAAGATTTCAGAATGTTTTTCGGCCATTCGCAAGTAAAATCTCCCTTTGTTGTCATTGTTGCATCGGGAATACATGTTGATTTACCGCATTTGCCATTTACAGCATTGTTCCCAATGAAGTCTTCCCGAAGGAGACAGGATTAGACACAAAACGAAACTTTATCCAGGGGCTTATCAGCTTTCCACAAGTATGGGATGGTTCCATCTTTAATACGCCGCCTCTTACTGTAGTTTTGTCTCGAGGAATAGCAAGCCCGTTCTATAGCCACATCTTGAGTCCTTCCCTGCGTCAGTTTAATTCTGCTTCCTAATTGGTGGCGACAATCATTTCCACATGTCCTCGTTTTTGTTTAAGACGGAAAGCTCTGCAATTATAGGATTTCACTCTACCATCCATTGGAGCCCGCCCAGACAGTGTACTTCAGTATTGTCGTTAAACCACAGAGTACTTTCAGTAAATCAAGAGGGTCATATTCAAAGGGATTCTGTTCTGCTTTCGAATTAACTAACATCAATGACTTGTCTAATCATGACTAACGGTAAGTCACCAGATTTGGCCTCATTTTTGCCATGTCGAAAATTTGGAGGTCAGTTTTTCAAAATTTAAAAACAAACCATTGTGCAAGAAAAGATGTGGTTGAAAATGAGGAACAATCTCGTATCTAGTGACAAAATGGAACGCCGATGTTCTGGGGCTATCGATACTGCCGCTAAAGATATCACAAAAAATATTCATACCGGACTGAAACGGTGAAAATGTACAGTGTAAAGAAAGAAGGATCAATTTCTCACTTTACACCAGCAGCTGATTGCACCGCACCTTTGCTTTTAGACGCCTAGGGGAGACCATTTCTCGTATCTAATTTGAGACAAATTTATAGTTTACGTCACGAGCATCAACAAAGGATGTCTGTCATGGAACCTTTGCTGGCATGGCAATAAAATCAATCAAGGTGGTATATGAGAAACGGGTTGAAATGTCACTGTTCAATGCCAAAAACACAAAGAACCTCCATCGTTGCTGGCCGCAAGCTCATGTGAAAATGAGGAAGATTGAGGACGATGGCGAAGTCTCTTGTAAAACTTTGCCGCCTCTCCCTCATGGCGTTGCTGTTATTGATATATTTTATTCCGGCTCTGTCCTCACCCGGTTACCTACGGCAGCCATAGCTGCGGGAAAAGTTAGCGATCAGAACCCGCTTCAGACCGTCGGGTAGCTAGGGATGTAGCGGCCCCGGGATGGCTGCGCCGAAAGCCTAGTGAAGATGGGGAATATGCCACTTACCAACGAAGCCGCTATCCGTTCTAAAAGGAGGCAGAGAGCTTGATGCCATTATAGAACGTCAGAGAAAATTCCACAGACCAATACCGACATGGGGAGCTCACAGTCGGAACTTGGAACATTTTCTCAGAGAGAGAAAGAATGAGCTAGTCGATGAGGTCCGCAAGGAATCTATTCGAAACAGCTGGACTGTCGTCAACGAAGCATCTGGGATTTCTAATTCTTAACCTCTGCGAGTGGTAACTATTTTGCTAGGTTTTCACTTCGCGGTCTCAGACAGGTGTTGGCAGGTATAATCATTGAATGAAAGGTAGTCAGCGGAAGAGTGGTATTCTTCCAACGGGAGTTGCAACACGCTATAGCTTTGATTTTGTTACAGGCGCCCAATTTAGAGGGAGAATATGACTCCTTTCTTGAGGAAGTGCAGTGTGCTCTGTACGAACGAAGTGCCGAATACGGAGTCTCTCATACTCATGGGCGATTTTAATGCGCATGTCGGAGCAGACACTGAAAAGAGGAAATACGTGACCGGAAACAGCGGCCCTGGCGACCTCAACAACAACCGCATGAAGTTGTTGCGGTTTTGTGCAAACAACGAACTGTCCATTATGAACACCTTCTTCGAGCATCGAAGCGTGCTTCAGTACACCTGGTCAAGGAAGCTAGTGTACCAAAGTCGATGATTCATATCATGAAGGCATCTTCGGAATTACAACCCTCCGTAATGGACGTTCCCGTTAAGAGAAACGCTGAGCTGTTGCTGGCACCCTCATTTGCAAACGATTGGGTACCATAAGAAGATCTGACGACATAAGCACCCAGCACCCAGATGGTCAAATGGGAAACGTAATTTTCTGCAGATACGAGGGTAAAACTTGCCTATAACATCGTGCGACAGTTTGAACACATTCCAGTGATGACCACCGATGTAGAAACCGAATGGAAGTTCTTTGAGAGCAGCTTCTTCGGACTGCCGCCGAATGCTCCATTTTAAGATGAGTTGGACTGCCGCTTGAGGGTAAGAAACGAACTTCCGGTGGACCGTAGAAGTTCAATTGACTGTCAGCGAGAAGGAAGCTGCCTTCAGTGGGTGACTTGGAAGCAAAGAGCTTCTGACTTGCATGGTACAGAGAAGCACGTAAGGTCGCCAGACCGGAAGCTGATTCAGGAGATATTAAAATCGAATTTTCAGATGCAAATGTATTTAGGTAGACCTTCCGCCGCCTCCGAGGTGGAAAGTAGGGCAATCTGAGAGTCCACAAGAAAGCTCTCCTACGAAGAATGAGGATGTAGGTCGGCGACGGAGCGAGAATTTGATGACCCGCAGGGAGACTCGTTTGTACAGCAGTAGGCAACTGATATTAACGTTTCACTAGATGAAGTTGCAGAAACTGCGAAAGGCTTGAAAAATGGCAAAGTAACTGGAATCGATAAAATGCGCCCTCAAATGCTTGAATCAATAAGCGAACAAGGCATATTGTAGGCAAGGACGTTTGCGAAACTGCATGGCTACAGGGAAAACACGAATAGACTGGAAAGCTGGGTTTTTTGGTGCTCCCTTTTCGAACTGAGATCATAGGTAATCCTCATGATTACAGGCCATTACCTTATTTGTCGTTCTGGGCAAGGTCGACTGAAGAGTGTTAAAAATGAGGTTTCGTGGAGGAACTGACTCTAAGATACGAGAAGAGAGATATAGCTTCATGTCAGGTCGATCTACCTCTGACCATATCTTTTCCTCAAGCTAAATTGTTGAGAAATCTTTCGAGATCGCTTATTTGGTGTGCATACGCTTTGTTGAGCTGGTGCAGACGTATTGACGGACTGCCAGCAACAGCCTAAGGTCGGACCTGCGTAGGTAGGGGATCGATAGACAGTTATTGCGAGTCATTACGTTGCTGTATGTCGATCGTAGGTGCTGCGTCACAGCAAATGGCTTTAAGTCGAGTCCTTTCAGGGTTGGCACCTGGTGTTTGCCAAATTTGTGTTCTCTTCCCTCTCCTGTTGGTGTTGTGCATGGATAGACTTGTCAAGCAGTGCCAGAGGAGTATTATCATAGGATGTGTGGAGACGAGAAATTTGCGGCTTGCAGATGACCTTGTTTCGCTGACTTTTTCTGAAACTGACATCCAGCGCTCCCTAAAAAAGTTAATAACCGAGAGTGACGTGGTCACGTGCGTCTGAAACTGTCTAAAACGAAAAGCCTGGTGCCTGGTACTTCCTCGTTCTCCTCTGTAGATAAACGGAGAAGCCGAGGAACAGGTGGAAAAGTTCACTTGTCTCTGAGTTATGTCTACTAGGGATTAAATATAGGAGGGGGAAATCCATAAGCGATTGAGAATAGTCAGCTGTTCTGTTTGAAATACCCAAATCGTTGTGACAAAGGTAGAGCTGAGGATAACGATTATTTATGCTATGTTTGCTCAAGTCGATCTTCCTTTCGGTGCTCACCTACAGTCATGAGTCATAGCTTTGGCTGAACAGGTTCGGTCCCAGGAACAAGCGGCTAAAATTGCCCTTTTGTGGACACACCCTGTGCCAATTAATGCGAGACAACAGCCAGACAGTTGGACGTAAGAGGATGCAGTCTTTTCAATAACAAAAAAATCAGCAACAAAACACTGCACTGACAAAGCGGACAGCGGTGACAGGTAGCCGAGCATAAGGATATGAAGGGAATTCCTTAGAGCCTTCGCCTCGACATATGGCGAACGCTATAGTCTGTCTAAAGTGTATGATTCTCAGCATGCCTCGGGGAAATGTATCCTCCAATAGCTTTTTATGTTATATGATCAAAAACTATAAGAACCCTTTGCACATAACTAAGCAGTGGCCTCAGCCCACCTCAACTTTCCCCAAGTCGTCGAGCCACTACCGGTTTCTCCGATAGCGTAGTCAGGTGAACGTCTTGCTCAGCGAAGTTCCTGGATGCTGTGGCTGCGGAAATGCTCCTTGACATTATTTATGAAATAAAATGTTACATTAAATACATTGAAAGGAAGTCTGAGCGTAACCGCAATTTATTTTACAGAATACCTGACTATTGAACATGAGTTTAATAATTTAATAACTCGATTTATTTCTCGTAATCAGCTCTACTATATCTCATATACAATTCATTCGACAGTTTTAAGGTATTAGATACTGCTTGGGCCTGTCATCACATGTGCAAGTTATTCGAGAAACTTCTGTCGTCGACTGTACATGACCAGCAACGTAAAATGGAAATGTTCCAATTTCTCGACCGGCTCCCAGACGGACCCTCCATGTTATTCTGAATGCTCCTTAAAGCGTCAACTTTTACGTTCTTCATATGGCCTTCAGCGGTCTGTTCTGAAGCACTGTCTGTTTCTAAGTGTTAAGCAATAGTGATGATTCAATTGTTGTATGAACGTAGTCGCAGTTGCTCCACATCTGACAAAAACAAGAATAACGCCTGACTTATATACCACTGTGGAGAAGCGCTACCCTCTCACGACATAGATGCCTGCCACGTTTTATATGCAAATATCCTATCTATTATGATCAGTGCTGAAACCTGACGGCTGTATGCACATGTCACACACAATCACATAAAAACTGTGAAACGGAAGTTCTTTCTCAGGATTGCTGGAGTGAGGAAATTCGACAAGCTGTGAGTCTTGCCTCCTCTGCTGCTCCCGTTGATGGATTGTCACATTTGCGATGTTTGGACAAATGATCACGATGCATGCATCGGAACAGACTCGGGAGCTCCTCTCTTATTCGGCGAAAGAAAATACCTAGGACTGGCCTATTGGGTAAATAGGGCAACTAGCAGCAAAGTTGAGTCTACTATTTATGCTTGAAAGCTGTCGAAATTGGCAAGGGATGAAAATCATTCATATGCCTGATCGAAACTGATCTTTTCTTTCATATACGAGAATTGTGAGCTTTCAAGGCTGATGGATAAACGAAAAGAGAGATCAAGAATTTACCGTAGTATCATCAGTGTTCCAAAAATAGAATGATACTTGCGAATTTCTTTCATTTAACAGGCATTAAACGCAGTTTTAAGGAATTAAGTAATTCTGAGGTGAATAATGAAAATCCAGCAAGACTCCATTTCATAACTATGCCATATACCAGTAACCTCAAAACTGGGGGACCAGGGATCGAGTGAAGAACAGAAAGAAAATTAACGCAATGTTTGGTCTGTGAGACTTGAATGAAACATCTGCATTGGACAGGCTAATTACTCTGGTATTGCTAATCACGTCCTTTATGGAGGACGTTCCTTCCTCAGAGACATATAGTTGATAAGCATATTGTTAATCTAGTCAATGAATATTCTAGTGACTAATCTAATAAAGGACCAGTGAATTCTTACCTTTTTACAAGGCATTCCCAACGTATCTCCGCACCCATCATCGCATGTTCAATGAATTATTTCCCTCAGCTGTTGTAAGTGAAAACATGCTTGCTATCACCAACTTGATAGGAAATTTTAGAATGATGACGTAGTGAGTGGCTGAGAGCAGTCAGTCAGTTTCGATGACCACTTATCCTTGTGTGTCGCGTAGCCAGTCGTGTCCAGTCCAGTCCTGTGCTTGTGTAGTTTTGAGGTTCGACAGAAGATAACTCGATTCTAGAGCCGAGTCCTTCGATACTTTTGCCTCGAGGTATTCTTGACTCACCTCGGAGTCTTCCGCCGGTAGTTAAAACAGGTAGTGGTTGTTTTGCATTCCTTTCTGGAGGTATTCGCAAGATGTGCCGAAGCCACGTGACACTCTTGAGAAGGATCGAGCGTACATGAAGCTTCTCTCGGATACCTTAACCCTAAACTATGTTCAGACCTGTCATTCCAGCGATTCTTATAGAAGACCTATCTGAGCCACCTGTACCTCAAATGAAAGTTTTTGAGTTTTGAAGTTTGTCGT